GCCTCTATATTTGCAGTGAGGTCAGTGCCATGTCACAAGGATCGTTTACAAAGGTTTCATGGCATTTGGTTGTAATATGACCCACAGATCCAGCTTTAAAAATGCAGCACTGTATTGATCAGCCATGTTGGCTGTGAATAAAGGCTTTAAGATTAGACAGAAGTCCAATCCAGGGCAATGTAGAGCTGTGGAAAGAAATAGAGTGCATGGAAATTAGAAAATACCTCTCCAGAATTTTTATACATTCTCAGTCTCCTTCTAACACTCTTCGGAAAGGTGAACAGCAAATATGTTTCAGAGACTGATGGCTTGTAAAAAATCCAAATGCTCAAGAGAGAAGATTTTACTGTCTAGCTCAGGGACAAGACTATTCTAGCAACATATTGGATAGCAATTCTTTTCCATCTGTTCGCTAATAAAAGCCTTTGGAAAAAAGATAATAGCCAAGCTCATCTCTATAGCAATAATACAGAACCTTCAATAATACAGGAGCTGAAGTTGGAGTTCTCTGAACTATGTTCACATTTAATCACACTGAAATTTCAATCATTCTCCCCTAAGGCCAGTTAAAACCTCAATAGATTTTGTATTGTAACAGAAAAAGAAAAAAAAAAAGTATAGTAGACATAATTTCTCCCCAAAAGGAGTTATTAGGATATAGAATTTGATATTATTAAAATGGCTACAAGCTGATTAACAAAATCTGCCATTTGATTGGCTTAAAATAGCTTACCCCTTAAGAAATAATATACAGTATGTAGTGTATTATAGTAGTTTAGAAGACTGCTGATGCCACTTTAGAAAGTTCTACTGAAAATATTTTGTTGAAGAAAACAATTGTTAGATTATATCTTGAGAATATCCAGATTTGGTTTTCTGGACTGTAAAAAAACAAAATGTGATCATTTATAAAGGTGAAAACAATAAAAATAGCACTTTTTAAATAAGGTGGTCCTCTTCTGTATTCTGTAGTCTTTCCTGCTGCTGTGGCTTTTATGGAAATCAAAGGCAGTGATTGCTGCCTTATGCTTCTACTCAGTCTCAACAGTGGTCTCATGCACATCTAAACTCAGTGCTGCTCTAAATGGGAACTGTTCTCAGTGCAGAAATTCCAGAGCTGAGATCAATACTACTTTATATTGGGGCTTTTCTAGGATTTGAAAAGCTAAACTGGTGTCATACCTAAGAAAAAAAAAACACTTTGGTCACATACAGTACGTCAAAAAATATTAAGGAAAAATAATTTTGTTTCATTATGTGGGCCTGTATGTGTCTTAACTTTCCTTCTCCAGCTAATAAAAGGGAGAGTGTATTTAGCTTAATACATTAATGCTCACAGTCACCATCCATTGCAATGTAACAATAAAAAGACATAAGCTACGTCATTGAGTGTAGATTTTTCAAAACTTTTACTAACACCTAATTTCGTCAGCTGTATCATTACTTCACAGCTTTCTAATAATGACTCCATTACTGCATTAGTAATGTGCCCAAGCAGAGAGAATAAAGAAGTGAATACAGGGTGCTTCAACCAAACCAGCTGCTCATATTTGATACTACAAGATACACAATAAAAGCAATGTGTAGGAAATTTATTACCACATGGATGAGAGACATGTCCCTTGATAATGCCACTGCGAGATTCTCTTAACTGGGGGATGACAGATCCCAAGCACACCAATGATGCCTAGTCAATTGTATGAGACCTCTTAGGGAATCACTGTCACAGACAGTTAGTGATGAGACCCAGGCTCAATCTCACAACATGTGGATTACAGGGCTCCAGATGTGCCTGGAGTGAGTGTCTTTACTAGCTAAGCCACATGGAAGCCAGCCCTCCCTGAAAAATTTCAACCAATATGACAGCAGACCATGATGAAATTTACGGATTTTTTCCCTCAAACCTCACGTTTGACATCTTGACAAAACATAACCCAGTATTAAGAATGCAATTAGTGCAGGTATACTACAGATAATGAAATCTGTCCTTGCATTACTATCAAACATGCCTGTAGAAAATTCATAAAGCATTACTGTATAATAGAAAATTATATTTAAACATCTGAACACATAATTATAGTACTTTTCTTAATTACCTGAAAGTTATATTTTATTAACCAATGTTTTTCTTGGTGCCAAGTAATATTTTTACCTACATTTTTAAGGTAACCTACATGTCTAGCAAGGAACACTATGACAACAATTGAAAAAGTATATATTTAACATCCAGTCTTGCACTGAGAATATGACACCAAGAAGCTGCAGAGATAGAAGAAAGAGCTTCTGGGATTTATTTTTCCAAAATTTAATAGGAACCCATTTTCTGCAATGTTTATGGCCGATTCTCTCTCCATTTCCCATCCTTATGTATTTTTTAACTTTTTTCATGTCAGAATTTATATCTAAAGGATTAATATAGTAAAAATCTAACACATACCATCTACATGCTATTCTCAATAATCCTGAGACAGATGAGGTGACAGATGAGCCTCAATTTCTATGGCTCCACCTAGAAATCTCAAACCGAGGCACTAACCTCTGTCTGTAAGGGGACACTTTTTCCATTGTCAAGTCAGCAAAAATATTTTAATCCTTTTTTAAAATGAGAATATGATGTTGCAAAGATTTTAAAATATTTCAAAAACAGTGGAAGAACTGATTGCACTGTGTACCATAGTCACAAAGCAATTTCAGTTGTGATATGTAACAAATGATTCATTGTATACAACTAAAAATAAAAATATGCATTTATGAGGCCCACATTATTTTCATTATAGACAAAAACTGCAAACATAATGAGAAATGTTTTCTTAATTTTCCTCAGCCTTTATAGATGGCATAGAAATACGTATTTTGAGCTCCCAAAATACAGTTGAATTGTCTGGACTCTGGACTAAATGAATGAGGAAATAATGAGTTTAAAATATGTCTTGTAGAAGCATTGTGCTGGTGTGTGCATCTGCTGTGATTCTGTGCCATTGCCCAAAGAACTAACCCTTCTGTGCAGAGCGCTCTCTTTGCTGATGGATGTTCCTCCTTCTGGCTTCCAATCTAGATAGATGGTGAGGGGTTTTTTGTATGGACATTTCCATTATTTGTGACATCATTTCCATGACAATCTGTCATGCTCATATGGTTGCTAGTGATCATTATCGATAATTTCTTACGTTTTCACATGTAATCAGCTTTATCTATAAAAGCTTGCTATAACCTTGTCAGAGAATCAGGCCCTTGTGTTTAACTTAACTGTGGGTAAAAAACATTTCAATTGGCTTAATTATAGAAATTGAGAGGGATGGCAGGAAGGTTAGTGTTGTGGCCTCAAAGCTCCTGGGTCCCGAGGTTGTTTCTGGACTGGGATTACTTCTGTGGAATCTGCATGTTCCATCCATCTATCCATCCATTCTTTTTCTAACCGCTTCTTCTAATTCAGGGTCATGGGGGAGTCGGAGGCTATCCTGGCAAGACACAGGCACAGGGCAGGATACACCCTGTATGGGATGCCAGTCCATTGCAGGACCTACACAGACACAGATTTTAGGGGGCAAATTTTCCCAGAAGCCAATTAACTTACCAGTACTTCTTTGGACTGTGGAGGAAAACTGGTGCACCCACAAGAAACCCATGTGAACACAGGGAGACCATACAAACTCAAAGCAGATAGCACCCCATGTCCAGTAATGAATCCAGGGCCCCAGCCCTTAAAGCATCAATGTCACTGTGCTGCCCTAGTCTGTATGTTATTAATTATTATCAATTTATTTGGCTGATGCAAGTTCATACAGCTGTACGTTTTTAGTGGAGCAATTTGAATTAAGTACTTTGCTTTACAGTACAACAATGGAATTTGAACCCCCCAGGCAGCTACAAGTTCAGGACATGCTCCTGGTCTCCATGTTCTTTACCAGGAATAAGATGCTAGCTAATAATGGATTGATAGATGGATCAAAATAAGAAAAGAGAGGTTACAGTTTCAGTTATTCAGTTCTGAAAATGTATACTTTTATGAAATTGAGAACGTGTTTTTGTAGAACAGATACTAATCAGTTCAAATATAAATGTTAATGTACAGTATATACTCTAAAACATGGCTCATTTTTCTTTGACCAATATCAATATCAGTATCATTATCAAGGCCTGTTCTGTGTAACATTCTAGATTTTTTCAGAAACCATGGTGGAATAAACAGAGTAAAACATGGAGTGAAATCCACAAGCTGAAACGTGTGTTTAAAAACAATCTTGCACAGAGTACAAGTAATTAAAGAATGGTATATCTACTCATTTGCAAATGGGCTGGTACAATTTTTTGCATGAATTTAAGCAGAGCAGGGCAATCCAGATGATACTTTGTCGAATGGTTGATAATCTTATTTAACATTTTGGTGCCTCTTTTGGTACTGATGTTCTTCATATATCAAACTGGTACAACCATTGTTTTCTAACGATATAGAAGTTCAGACTAGAAAGACACTGGAAAATGGGGACTTGGAATAATCACAAATTAATGGGTTGATTCATTCTTGAAAGGTGCTGCTTTTTCGCAGTTTTTTTTGCAGATATTTAGCATGGAATACAAACATGGTCATATATATCAATAACACTCAAAACATCCTCAGTTAATTGATAAATAATTGAAAGAGACATTAGGAAATGAAGAATCAATGCAAGGGCTTCTGCAGAAAGGAAAATCTTCTGACAGGATATTTTCAGGGTAGTTGACTCTAATTAACATGCATTTGTCAATGATAACTTCATTACTACGCACAAGGCATTAATTGTTCCCAGTCATCTACAGAAACCATTAAGCCATTTCGATCAGAATCAGTTCTTCATCGAATAGATTTCTTCTACAAATCTAACTAGAAAAGTGACACTTTTGCCCTTTCAAAACTATCAGTGCAGCTCCACAGTGAACATAAGTAAAAAAAAAAAGATAACATTTACAATGGGAGAAAAAAACATCAAAACTTTAAAGAGATATTCAGGCATGGTTACTAATTTTACTTTCCAAACACATTTATTGGGCTGTTGACATTAACCAAACACAGTGTATGACCATTGTAAACAATTAAACAGAAAAAAAGGCATCAGCTCAATATGTCTCCAGAATTCGAAGTGCACCAAGCGGAAAATACTTAACTCTTCTCTTTTTTACTTTTTTTTTTTCAGCGGTAGTAATAATATTTACAAGGCCAAACACTCACGCAGACATTATCCTTTTTTCTAAAAAAAACTTGAATAAGTAGACTTATGGTTGCTCCCACATCCTCATGGTCTGCATGCCTTCAGTTCAATGACAAGAATGTAATAATGAGCTCTCAAAGCATCACATGGCTCCTGGAACACAACTTCACAGTTATGTTGTTCTGAGATATATGTAGCAAGGTGTCCATATGTACAAAGGCTAAAAAGTCTTTCTTTTTCCCCCACTGACGATGAGGCAATGAAATAAAAGCTCCATCTGTTTTTTTGCTGTTTTTATTTTTTAAATATTTTTCTGTTCTCTCCAAAACATTAGGTATCAAAAGTTTAATAGATATATTTGTATTTCAGTAGTTCGTGTTCAAATGTTGTCGAAGTATGAAATTAAGGTCTCTTTGCTAAGTGTGCAAAAGTCACATTTATCTGCTTTTCTTTCTGTACAATGTTACGAAGTCCATCGAAGAAGTGATAGATGCAGTCTTGTGATACGAAGTTTTTCCTTTTTTTGTTAATACGGATACTAATGTACTTTCTATAGTTACTATTTGAGAAGCCATTCATTCACTGAAAGACAAAACACAGCAAAATATATGATTAGTAGATTCTCTGAACAACAGAACTTTATTTTACAAATTTAAAACACTAGTGTCTTGCATGAATTTATGCTGTCAAATACATATTAACTGTATGTGTTTTGAACACAGCATTCTGCAAATAATTTGTTATTATTTTTAAACATTATTTATAAAATGGCCTAAAGATGAATAAGAAGCGATGAAAAACCATCTGTTTTTGTATTTTAAGTATTTTACAGTGTAATAAAAGAAACAATATAATTGAAATTATATAGATATAGGTACAAAAAATAAATAGGTATAAATCTGCATCTCAGCAACCAGTGCACAAAACATGAGAACTTTATTAATTAGCCAGTCAACAGCACTAAAGATCTTGGAAGAAACAGGAGTTATCTATTGACATCTGTTATATATTTATATTTTTGAATAAACTTGCCGCATTTTCTGCAGCAGCTCAAGAGATATCATAGATCAAACAGTCAAAAGGACCACATTGTGGAGAAATGTATTTATAAACTAAAATGATGATAAGATTCTACTGTATATTTACCTAAATAATATGTAAATAATATTAGGTTAAAAGGGAGTCTGTTAACCTAGAAAGCTGTTTGTTCAGAACGCTTTGGTTCAGTCTGGGTTATGCAACTGCTGAAAAACTGTTAGGTGTAGGGGGAATCTGAGTTGACCATGGTATCTTACTTTATCATGCATCTGTGAAATGCCCTTTACTGTATATTCGTTATATTCAGTGCATCTGTGAGCTGCCAGTGTTTTTAGTTAGACCCACCTCCTTCCCATCATCGGCATTCACTCTACTGTACACACTTTGGGACTTGCAATGTGCCAGATTTTGGATGGCTATGGCAGCACATGCTCTGGAGGAAAAGTAATAAGCTCTGTACCCCATGGTAACAGGAAAAAGATCCTCTGGGTTATATATAGGATGAGTAACTGTGACTATTCCAAATTCACAACGGCAACAGCAGTAATAACAATTGCTGACACAGAAAAGGGAATTCAATAATAATGATATGTATGGGAATATTAATTGGTTCCACAGACAAATGTTAAGCAGTATTATGAAATAGACTAATTTGGTGGGGATAAAGCTCCCTTTCTGATTTATAGAGAAGAAAATTAAAAGCAGAGTTTAATTTACCAGCTTACAGTGATTTGTTCTGTCGCGCGAACGAGAGTACAAATGATTAGAAAGCAATCACAAGTAATCTGAAACCCTGCTATGAAGGAAAGTTATGCCTAAACCAAAATTTAACTTTGGAGAAGGTTTTCATTTAATTTTTTCTGTGGTCCTTTATTTATGTATATAAATATTATTTATTGCAAATGGCTGGAGAAAAGAAGTTTATGAACAGTATGGTGTAGGAAAGGTGTCTTTTTATACACACAGAATATGCAGTACAGTGGTTCAGACAAGTAAGTGCACAAAACTGCAGTACCCTGTTTTTCCGGGACCTTTGCAGACAGCTCTGAAGATGACATGCTGGGCAACAGAGGAAGACACTAACCTCGATACTGCAGCTTTTGCGCTCTATTGTTGGGGCAGTCCTTTCCTTGCACGCTGAAGTTGATGTTGGTGCGAATACAGCGGTTATTCAGGGGCTGTGTTGGCCTCACATTGTCGCTCATGCTTAGAAATATCTGCGATGGCTGGTTCTGACTTAGCAGCCGTAAAGAATGCATCTGGGTGTACACAGGTAGGGGAGAAAATACACCAGAATAAGTGTTCATCTCTGGTCCAGAAAGGGTTATTTTTGAGATACTAATAGTAGTAGTCACCACACTGGGGTAAAGGTTTAGAATCTCTGGTCCAGGGGGTAGAGTGCCTTCTTTTGGTTTGCATGACAATGAAAATGACCTTAGAGATACACTGGCTGCATGGTATTGAGTGTATTGGTACTGAGGAGTGCCTCCTAATTGTCTTTAATTGTTTTCTTGGCTTAACAAACATACACAAAAAGAGGCAGTCTTCATTAAATAAAGTTATTAGTTTATGGCATATGAATATGTATACAGAAGTAGCCCTGCAATGATATGATGCATTTTATAAAGTCAAAAGGCTCTCCTAAGACATCTTAAGTAAATGCCTTCCTGAATGCAGATTCTGTGTACTATCCGCACATTGTAACAAGACTCACATAATGTTGTGTGTAAAGGGCCTCACACATGTGACTTCACTGACATGGCTTGTTAAGTTTATTTAGATTCCCCACCTCAGGGAACTGATCGTGAGGCACAGTGTGCTTGGAACCTGTTTGAACTGCGGCGCTTTTTAGTTTGTGTGGTGAAGAAGGCAATTCGATAATGGCAAGTGACGGCACCTGTTAAATGGATGCTGTGACTTAGATATAATAGGGTGATGCCTACAACTGAGGATTTCAAATGTACAGTACTTTCACACACAATGATCACTGTCATTCACCTCTGTCAAACTACCCTGTTTCACCTGGTCTTCTCATCCTTAAGAAGTGAGTTTTGAAGATCATGAACAGCTGAGTTTGACCGAGTTGAATGGATGATTGTTGTGGGGTGTTTTTGGAAAGTCTTTTTCTAAAGAACATAGTTAAATGCGACTTACAACTACTAGAACAGTGTTTGAAAATGCATTTAAATCCTGTGATTTTTACAGGGGAAAACTTTTACAGGGCTCTTAGGATCGCTGTTAACTAACCTGAGTTGTCAGAAGAACTGCTTTGGTGTGTACTGGATGCTTGGACATGTACTGTACCTGAGATGTTGGTTCAAATCCAGTTTCTAACTTTATATATAGTTAAAACTGATAGGATTCTCTGTTAAAGCTAGAAGACAACCTTCTGACAACAATTTCTGGTGAACACTTTCCTTATAACAGATACTGTATACCACCAGGAAAGCTAAGTGCCTCTATCACCCCGAGTACCTAATATGAGATGCTAATGTAGAATTTCTAATGTAGAAAGAAGAGAATTAAAACACGAGTTGGGAATGGGGAGAATGGGGGTTAATGTCCGAATGATTTGTTTAATTAAATCTGCTGATCCCCACAATTGTTTTTAGCATAACTCTTTTGTTAACCATGTGGCTTTGAGGTGAAATACTGTGAAGGAGCCATGTCATTCAGGACAGTGATAACTCATTAGTGGCTCTGCAGATGCCTGAATGAAACCCTGAAGGGGAGGAAGCAAAGATTGCTCCAATGCATGATGGTTGGTGATTTTGACTACAGGGGGCAATGGAAAAATGTCAGCATTGTAAACACTATTTGTGGGTGGTATTGATGATCTCCTATAGGACTCCAAACATGCAAACTCTGTGTGTGCAAGTTCTCATCTGTCATTGTTATTTGTTTGAAATTGAAAATTGTGAGATCTCCAGCATACAGTAAAATACAGTTTGCATTCATCCCCTTGAGGCGACAGCAGCTATCATTACACTTTTATTTTTTTTTACTGTTAATGGTTTATTATTTAAAATTCTTAATTGCATTAACGCCAGGTTACACTACAAAGAAACACAGCAAGAAATTCAAGTTGTGCTCGTGAAGCGACCAAGCTGAAGCATGAGGCTGGGATAAAGTACCTGGAGCCATTCAAACTGGAATTGGAATTGCAAAAAAAAAAATGGCAGTTAAATGTTCAGAGGAGTTACGAAAGGAATTACCTGCATCCGTGTTACATACACCGGCTTGTTCATTACAATCCATGTCGCAGTTTCAAAGCATGGAGGGATAGTCATTGATCCATCATAGGTAATAAAACTAGAGGTTTCAGGATAGAGCTCCTCTATGTTTAACCCTTGAAGTAGATATGCATCATCTGCCAGAAAGAATGAATAGTAAATGAAAGGCAGAATAATAATGTAATCTTCACTTTAGCTGTGAGAATATTAATTACATCCTAATGAAAAATCTGTGGGAATATTGAAGTCCCATAAAACCAAAAAGCTGGGATATACACACTGCATTCTTTCCCTCACGTTTTCAATTTGTGAATTACAAAAAGAGGGAGAGTAAGAAAATCAATTTACATTTAACAGAAGCTCCAGTACAAAGGAGCTGTGGAATTGAATGTCAGAATGGAAAAGCATATAAAGCTGAGCATATAAAAAGGCTCATGGCGACTAATGTCAATGTTTTAAATCCGAGAACAAGGACTGGGAGAAAAGTTAATCATTTTCATATCAGTTAATGAAATATCAATTAGAATAATAAATATTTTAACTTGTTCATTTCAAGGTCATTGGTAATGGAAATATAAAAAAAAAACAGCAAATAATTCCCAGCTCATTTACTAAAAACCTAAACTTGGGAATGATTATTAAAAACCTATAGGTTGCTAGCTCAAAAGGACATGCTTTTCAAGACAAAATGGTGAAAACAAAGGGTGGTTCTAAAATTATTCTTTCAAGCTTTTTATATTTACAGAATTATAATAACAATATGTTTTTGAAAGGGAAAGGTCTCCTATCTGCTGTACAACTTGGTTGTAAGAGACCTAAAAACAAATTATTTTGATCTCTTGTTGCTAAATCTTGTAAATGGAAAACAAATTCCATGTATCCAAGGTAACAAAATCAGTCCACTTTGTTCCCCTTTAAAAAATAATGAAATGAATTTGTATAAAATGTCAATTTCATACACCATTGTTCCTTTCCAATATATCAGTCCCTCTTGTACTATGGACAATTACATACAAAATGAATTACGCTCCTGTTCATTAAACATGAGCCCTAGATACATTTTGTCATTTTAATATATTGTCTTTTTACTTATTACACTTCACACCGCCAGGAGGGACTGTAGTAATTTGGCTTCCTTGTTGACAGTGGGTAACAAACTGAGACCAACTATTTCACTATTGTTTTGGGAAGAACATCATTACTTGTACTCCCACATTTAGACAGAAAACACAATAAACAGTATTCACATTTAAATATTTACAAGTGACAGGGCAGCACTAAAAAGATGGAACCCTAGTTATTTTTCTTTTCTATTTGGACAAGTGAATTTATTTTATTATTCTCAACAGAAGGATGGCCCCCAAATTATGTTTCTAGTGGATAATCTGCTATTGCATGCAGATGGAAACGTCCTTTGATCGCTTTAGCACATGAATAATTCCTTTTGGAAGGGGTTTTAAAAATACATATATACTTTATGGTAACAACGTTAAGCACGCCTAGATGAGGGAGTTTTGGAGCTCATCTAAGGCTTGGTTCTGACAGCTGTCAGGAGTGAAGCTCTTTATTTCTCATGTGGCTTGTCTGCAGAGGCCTCATGCTGGGCTAGTTACCATTTCCTGGCAACAGGCCTGAAATCCACTGCAGCAATGAGAGGTCAACTCAGTTTTTCCTGTTAATTCAATTATGAGCCTCTTTACTCAAATTTCACACACCAGAATGGGTCCCAAGGCAATGCCAAGCCAGGATTATCAAAGCACTCCACTGGAATCTGTAATGGCTGACTTTTTGGGTAAAGAAAAGAGAAATGCAGAAAGCCCAGGCAAAATATTACTTTATTCTTTCCTTTAATGGAACCTAACTTGTCCAAATTGGTAACCCTCTGCACTGGTATCCTCAATTTACAGCTCCTGATTGTAAGTTAATTTGAAAGGTGCCATTCTGAGGCAAGGCTAAATGGAGAAATTGGCAGTAAGTGACCTGCACTCTCCTCATCTCACTTTGCTGTCTTTTTGAGTATTCCGACAAGGTTATGAACACAGGAGACTGACTAACAATTTGGGTAATTGGCCATGGTTTCCCAAAAAACTCAACCAGGGTCACTATAAAAATATTGGCTAGTTCGTTTTTTTATTTTGTAATTAAAACTAATTATCTAATTACAGTTTAAATGTAGAATGAATCTCTACTTGTATCTAATCATAATATGAGTAGTCAGAATACACAGTTCTTAATCAACTCCCTGCAGTGCTTTAACAGTTGTACTGACATACAGTAGTAGAGATTATGTGAACATACAGGTGTACCCTGAAACATTAGCTAAGAAAGACCAAATTTTTCTTTCTCACATCAAGAGCCCATACTACTCATATAAAGACTTAGGCTTTGGTTTGGAAGGAGGACAAATGAAGCTAATGTTGATAAAATGTCTTCCTGACAGATGCTTTGCAACAGTAGGGTCATTTTGGCATAGTGAGCCTAGGCTATCATGGCCATCTCTAGATCACTCATCCATGGGGGAAATTAGCCAATAGCAGATCACTGATTAGGGGGAATGTGGGTCA